CCAAGCGCTTAATTATGTGTACATCTACAAATCTTATTGACATTTAAAAAAAAACATTCATTTCTCTGTTATTTGTTCCTTTATTACTTCATATTAAATCAAGCAAAAAATTTTTGACATCTATATATATCTATATTAAAAATAGTCTAATAGTATTGATGAGAGCCAGCAACTGATGGTGGTTGTTGTGGATACTGATTATAATAAGAATTTGCTTGTGATGATCGTTCAGAATGAGAAGGATGTGCTGAAGCTGGTTGAGAATGTTGATCATTATAGGGTATTTGTTGTTGTTGTGAGTGTGATGGTCGTTGCATAGCTTGTTGGGCTTGTATTCTCCACTGATTTGTAAAATTTTGATCATTCGAAGCCACTCCACGAGGTTTTCTTTCTTGTCGATATTGTCCACTAGCTTGATCTAGAGTACGTTCAATAATTTCACCATGATCACCAGTAAAATATCCCACTTGCATTTTATCAATACCACGTTTTGGATCACGTAAAGCTTTTTTTGTTTGCCAAACTCCACCTGGTCCCATACGACGTTCATCATGAGCTTGAACTATATGTGGCTTACCATCTGGTCCACGTGAAATCGATGTTATATTTAATGAACTTATACCGAATATTTTTACATTAGGATTGTTTGATTTCATAGATCGAAATGCTGTCATACCATCAGCATTAGCTCCATTACGTATAAGATCATCCATCATATTATTAGCAATTCCATAAAATGAACGAAAAATATCATTAACATTATTTCCATTGAGAAGAGCTGTATCAATGGTTTGGCTAATAATACCGTCGTTATTTGAATTATATTGTTGATTTGAATACGACATTTTTATTTTGAAAAAATAAATAAGTGATTACCACGTATATTTATATAGGTGTATATATATACGTTTGAAAGAAAATGTGTTACCTGTATTTTGATCAGTCAAGAACAATCACAAATCATTTTTTTGATATATATTACTTGGTTATGCTTCAATAATATTTTGCTTTGTTTTGTTGTTTTATTTTCGTCATGTTTTTCCTGTATTTATTGATCAAATTCGTCTAGCAAGAGGTGAAGGACATTGAAAACATAGAGTTTTATATAAAAGAAACGAGTTTATTTGATTGTTCAAAACAAAAATTTAAATTATATTAATTCTTTAAAATATCATGTATATGTTATTTTTGTTTTCTTATGTCAACCTTGACTAAAAATATGAATATTGAGTAGAAACTGGTATATTTACTAATCAACAACCATATAATAACCAGTTTGTTTTTTTTTACTTATATGATAAAAAATAGAAAATAAAAATATTATTTAGTCTAAATCATTTCACGGATATTTCAACTCTTTGCCTATACTCTCGAGTAATAATATGTTTGATCTTTCTATACAATTACGAAAACATATAACAAAACTGAAGATTATGGGCGATTTAACTCTTGGAATTATCCTAAAAATTAAACTTTAATATTTATTACAGATAATAAAAAAACCTTGTCAATATTTAAAATATAATTAATAGAAATGCAAATAGTTCTATAAAGTGTCAAATGAATAGAGAAGAATTCTCTATTTCGATAAAATCAATAGAATATAAAAAAAGAAACTTTGATTTTCGACTATTACAAAATACAGATTATCAATATATTGATCTAAAAACCTTCTTGATTATCACACTGCTTATGTAACTGAATGATCTATTACTACATAACTTCAACTTACACAACAAAATATATATACATATGTTTAGATTTTATTATTGTTAAAACTATTGCGTGCATAGCTTTGCTAAAATTTTTAAGAAATATTAGAATTTTAGCATAGTTCCCTATTCTTACAGATAAATCGAATCAAATGCAACTCCGATATGATCAATTTATCAGTAAAAATCAATTATAACTAACATACGAAAAGATCAACATTAAGATTGCTCGAAAAAATTGATTGCATGCGCTAAGTATTGATAAAAGTTAGCAAAATTAAAACAGTACACTCGAATATAAAAGAATTTCTTGGAAAATATGAATCGAATCTATAGAAATACATCAATTTCAGCAGCTATAATGCTTTTAAACGTTACGATCTTATCATCATACGACTTTTTTCATATTGCACAAAAATTATTAACAAAACATATTAGCATTGAATGAACTTTCAATTTACGTTTATTGTAATACGTGCCAATCGATTGAATTTTAGCTATAGATTTATTTTATGAATAAAGATTACAATTGAATATATAAATATCCATTCTTAAAAATCTCTAACGTTCCATCTTCCATTTGATGTATATAAGAGGAAGAGAAAATACATCGTTCATTTAGAACTCAACAGTGACGCATCGCCAACTATGTGTCGCTCTTCTTCATTTTTTTTCTATCGCGAGAACGGACGGCTGAAATAATCCACAAACGTCGTGCTCCCTCTCTCCGTCAATTTTTTTTCTTTTCCTTTCTGCTTACAACTTTGCATATACGCACATATTCATAGACAGAAGAAGAAAGAAAAAGAAAAAAAAAGAAGCGAAGCGACGATAGAGGCACTACTAGTAAACAAAGTGTCAATCGATTAAAAAATATGGTAACAAAAAAAACAAAACATAAATCAATAATTTTTAATTTTATTCAATTATTTTAGCTTGTTCCTGATCGTAATCCATCAACACCAGTTTCATCAAATAATACAAAAAAACGTTCAACAATAACTAAACAACGAAAGTAAATATAGAATTTAGTTTTTTCCCTCGACAAAAAAGTTTCTTTTAGATCAAAAAAACCTCGTAATGAATTTGATGATAATGATTTATCAAAAGATGGAGAAAATTCTTTATCACAATCAATTTTTGATGATCCAGCATCATCAAGAACACGTAAATATTATTTTGAAAATTAATTATTTAATTAATTTATTTTTCTCATTTAGCATTAACTGGTCAAAAAATAACTGATTCACAATTACCACGTAGTACAAATTTAACTGATTTAAATGATGAAGTTGATGAGAATATAGATGATCAACAAATTCAAGGAGATTCTTATCAAATTAAAAAATTTAATGAACCTGAAGCATGTGAACAAACACATCATATTATAATTCCAAGTTATTCAGCATGGTTTGATTATAATGCAATAAATTCTATAGAAAAACGAGCATTAATTGAATTTTTCAATTCAAAAAATCGTTCAAAAACACCAGAAATGTAAGTTTTTCTGTATTTTTTTGTCTCTATCAAATATATTTTCTTTTCTTTAAGTTATATGGCATATCGAAATTTTATGATTGATACATATCGTTTAAATCCAAATGAATATTTATCAATAACAGCATGTCGAAGAAATTTAGCTGGTGATGTTTGTGCTATAATGCGTATACATGCATTTCTTGAACAATGGGGTTTAATTAATTATCAAATGGATGCTGATTTACGTCCAACACCAATGGGAGCACCATCATCATCACATTTTGCATTATTAACAGATTCATCAGCAGCAAAAGTAATTGACAAGAAATGAAAATAATGCTTTTTTATTGTTTAATTTTAAATAGAATTCAGCAACAAAACAAATAGCAGATTTAAAACAAGAAGCTAAACGAGAAGAACGTGATATTGAAAGTACTTTGGGTTTAAGAACTGATCAATATAATAAAAAACTTAATTTGGTAAGAAATTAAAGAATCTTATAGAAATATACTTGACGAATATTTATTTAGAATACAAAAACTAAAGCGAAAGATTGGCTAGATCAAGAAATTCTTTTATTACTCGAAGGTAAATCTATTTTTTTTAAATTCTTCCTAAAATTATTTATTTTTTACTTGAAAAGGTCTTGAAATGTATAAAGATGATTGGAATAAAGTTTGTGAACATGTTGGTACACGTACCCAAGATGAATGTATTTTAAAATTTCTTCAATTACCTATTGAAGATCCATATTTAGAAGGAAATGGTAGTGCATTAGGTCCACTTTCTTATCCAACAATACCATTTAGTCAAAGTGGTAATCCTGTTATGTCAACAGTTGCATTTCTTGCATCTGTTGTTGATCCACGTGTTGCTAGTGCAGCAGCTAAAGCTGCTTTAGAAGAATTTTCTAAAATGCATGAAGATGTATCAACAACTGTAAATGATACAAATAAAGAAACAAATGATAATTCAACTTCACTAATAGGTGAATTAAATAGTAATGAAAATGAAGAATCATCTAAAATAAAACAAGAAAAACTTGATGTTAATGATGATAATGATGAAACGAAAAAAATGGAAATTAATGATACTGAACCAAAGAAAATGGAAGTTAATGATAATGAAGAAGCTCAAACAGTTAATGATGAATCAGCAGCAGCAGCAGCAGCAGCAACAGCAGCATCATCATCAACTATTCCAAAACCTACAACTAATAATGATCAACAAGATCCAAGAAAATTATTAGCCGCAGAAATTAATGAAAAAGATACGAAAGCAGCAGCAGCAAGTGCATTAGCTGCAGCTTCTGTTAAAGCTAAAGTACGTTTAATATTCACTAGATTTTCTTGTATTAGGGACGGGTCTAGCTATTCGGTGAACGCCACCCCTTCGAAAATAGATACTGCAACAAATACTGAAAACAGGTAGAACGCTATAGGTTTTTGTCCTAAAAAATAATACTACTTCCCACTTTTTTTTTATAAATCGCTGCCCCTGTCCTCTATAATACGTCTTGCCTTGCTGACTTAAGTAGATACTGATACTAGATGAATAAGGACATGTATGAATTGATCTATTAAGAAATCATTCAATGTTATAAACTATATTTCTTTGAAATTTTAGTATTTAGCGTCAATAGAAGAACGTAAAATCAAATCATTAGTAGCACAAGTCGTTGAAATGCAAATAAAAAAACTTGAAATAAAATTACGACATTTTGAAGATCTTGAATCGATAATGGATCGTGAACGTGAAATGATTGAACTTCAACGACAACAATTATTACAAGAAAGACAGCAATATCAATTTGAACAAATAAAAACATCAGAATTTAAACATCGACAAACTCTAGAAACATTCAATAATAAATCATCACCATTACCATCATCATCATCAAATGTTACAAATGGAAATGATACACATATGCAAAGTGAAGAATCAATGGATTCACAACAAAGTGATAGTAAGTATTCAGTATTGTTTTTTCATCGAATTTAAATTTATTCTCTTATCTTAGGTTCACCTGCGAACATGTTATTAAGAAATGAAGGTAAATTGTAAATTTATTTGCTTGCTTTGTCTATTGGTTTATTGTAGTCTAGTAATTATTGCATGTTATAAGTTTAGTTTAGAACAAAAAAAAACCTATATAATGCGCTCTCTCGCTGGTCAGGACATACAATGAAAACTGAAATATTACATGCTTTAAACAATAAGACAATGGTTGGAGTTTGCTCTAATGCTTATTGATCATATGTATTAATAATATGAACTACATTTTTTTCAACTATTTATGTTGTTAGTTTTCTCTGTTTTCATCAAAATGTTATCTGATCAGGGCAGCTTGACAAGCGAGAGAGAGAGAGCATACATATACGTTTTTTGTTTTGTATCTTATCCTTATTTACCTTTTATGTATAAAGTTCTGTCTACTTCTATTTTATTAGTAATTTTTAGTAGAAAAAAAAAATAAACTAATAAATTGATGGTTTTGTTTTGTACAATTTCAGGTGGTACAGGAGAAGCATCGACAACATCATCTCTTCCTAATGAAAAGATGCTTACTGAAAATGCCAGTGAAAATGGTGATGATTCAAATAATATATCTTCACTTACAGAAACTGACAACATAAATAATAATAATTATTAACAAACATATTTTCTTTTGTGTCTGTGTGTGTGCGTGTATTTTTTCTTTCATTGTATTATTTTTCTCTTCAATGTATTGTTGTTGTTGTTGTTCTTCTTCTTTTTCTTCTTCTTTACAAAAAAACCAATTGTTAGAGACACATTTCAAACTCATCTGAATGATCTTCGTGTTTTTGTTTGTCAGAATTTGATTCTTTTTTTTTGTCTTTTACATTTGCTCTTTGCCAATTACTTACACAAAAACATATTGAATGTATTTAGAAATTTCTATGTATTTTTTGCTAGAACTAAAACTGAAAAAAACCAAAACAAAGAAGTTTATTATTAAACATTAAAATTTAGAAAACAAAAAAACCACAATAGAAATAATTAATTATTATTTCTAGGTCCTTTTTCGGATAATAATAGTGAATTATCGGATGAACATGATGAAGATTTATTATTTTCTCATTTACAATATCAAACTACAACATCACGATCAATGGACAATTTTTTGAATAGATTCAAACATGGTGAATCAAACGATGGATTACAATCGATATATAAAAAAAAATCTAAACCAGATTATGATAAACGACGTTATCAATGTTCAATATGTTCAAAAAGATTTAAACATAAACATCATTTAAAAGAACATGAAAGATTACATACCGGTGAAAAACCTTATACTTGTGATAAATGTGGTAAACGGTTTAGTCATTCAGGTAAGATTTTCAATCAATAGTTTTATTTTGTAGAAGTCACATATATTCTTGAGAGTATGGATGGCAGGTTAACATATCATCCATCCTTCAGAAAAAATGAATTCAAGTTTGCCGGTTGGCATATCTCTCAAAAGCTTTTACACATTATCTCGTAGCAAATCTTCTATATCAAATGCGAAGAGGTTTCAATACCAACAACTACGTTTTCTTTCAGAAATAAGGGGAGACTAAGGATTTAAACGTCATCCGATGTATTTGATACGCACTTCAATGAGGCTACGCTGATAACCTTTTTCGTCTGGGAGAAATCCGCCTGTTTTTGTAATTTTGAAAGGAATGAATTAACTAATGTATCTTTCTTATTAAATATTTTAGGTTCGTATTCTCAACATATTCATCAACGTAATAAATATTGTCGACCAGATCAAGTTGATACTGATAATGAATAAATTATACAACAATAATCAATATACATTTCATATTTTTTTTTTTTGATAATTTTAATTTAATGTAAATAGTTCATTCAAATGTGATATTTGTTGAGCAATTTTTGAACAGTATTTATACATGATAGATCTTTTTTTATTAGCATTTATATAATGTGATAAATATAATATAGAATATTTGAGAGAAGATTAATCAGTTTAGTTTCTATTTTCAAAACTACTGATCGTATCGTTTTCTTTTGCAATATATTTAGTTTTTTGTTTTATTAATAAAATTTTATTCTTTAAAATAAGCTATCTAACGTAAATATTAAAGATTTGAGGGAATGTATATCTAATAGAAAACAAAAAAGTTATTTCTAATATATATCTAAATGTTTATTGTTCGTTCTAATAAATTAATATCAATAAACTAGTGATAAGAGATAATATAGAAGTAGTTATGGTCATGCTTGATGATGCAACAATATTTGATTTATCATCAAGACATGCACCTGAAACACAACGAAGTTTTGTTGAACAAATAATACCATTTTCATGTTGACATTTTAAATCGGCCAAACGACTTTTTCCATTCCATGAACCTTTACAACGATTTTTATTTAAATATAAATCCAGACGATTATTTCCTGATGTTCCAACACCAACTTGTACTGCACCATATCGAACAGCAAACGATGTTCGTTGTTGATCTAATATAAATGGTCCTTTTGGTTCACATTTTTCTGTTGGAGAACTACATTCACATGAATCAATAACATAAATTCCATTCAAATTTTCACTTGAAATTTGTGTTATAATAGTTAAACTAATAATACATATAACGATTGAATAAAACATATCTTGTATATAAATGTTCATAAATGAATAAAAAAAACGAACGGAATTTATAGAAGAATATTTTCATGTAATTGATATTTTAAGCTATTGGATTTGATTGAATAACAAAAGATTAGAACTAAAGTAATCTAATATGTTATGAATATAGAGGAAATATTGTACATACATTTCTTTAAGGGGATAAATCATGAATTCTTTTAAGTGTGAATAGTACTTAATTATATGTTGAAAGAGAAAAAGATTTGTAATAAGATATTCAATAGGTATTTGAATTTAAAATAATTTTGTAGTATAATCCGAAATGTTGAGATTTATATTCATCTGTTCAATATGTAATGAAAATTTATTTTAGAGCTTATTATAATATCAATCATTCATGTCATTTTTAAATTTTACAGTTGTCAATCAATGTCATTCATATCTATCAAGTTTAATAGCTTCACATAAGAAATAGATAATTGATTGTGGAAAGAAACTTTAGTATGTTTAATTTCTTTTTAAGGTAAAGTAGAAGACAATGAAACAATTTCTTTTCTACATGCTAGCAATGATACACTTTACGATGCTCTCTGGAAAGTCAAATAACAAAAACAATATGACGTCATCTATAGATATAACTTGGTCAAAATATTATCTATCCGCTTACAAAAATGATCTTCTATGGTAAAATCAATTGTATATAAATACTATTATCCTTTGTATTACACAGTGATAAGAAAAATTATTTATTTCATATTTGAAGAGATATTTTAATATTGATTTACTTATAATGGTCACTTGAAATGATATATCGTATATAAGTAATATCATAAGCAAATAACAAAATATAAGATTGATGAGAGACTATTCATCCATTGTCTCGGATAGGTTAAAATAATAGAGACAAGTTCAATAATGTTCATAGTTCACATGAAGTCAAGGTTAGAAAAAAACGTGACTGTTCACGCATTGAACGACTGATTATGATTTGATCATATAAAATGTCCCCATACTCGTATATGTATGTATGTATGTCATTTCTATATATGGTTGGACGGTCACATAAACGTTTCTATTCGTTTCTTTGCTTCATCATTGTATGATAAAAGAACGACAACTTTGTACATTTTGATTAGAACGAATATATTATTTGTGAAATTTTATTTCTAATATCATTATACAATACATTATGGACAATAGCACTATGACTATGGTCAATACCACGACTCATACCACTCATGATACAGGTGATAATGCTTGGATGATGACATCAACTGCATTAGTTCTTCTTATGACACCAGCGTTAGCTTTCTTCTATGGTGGCCTTGTTGATAGAAAGAATATTTTAAATCAACTTTTTCTTTCATTTATTTGCATGGGTATTGTATTTGTGCAATGGGTATTATTTGGATTTTCCTTTGCATTTGGTCCACCAGTTAGTCCTGGTTTCGGATCATTTGGATGGGCTGTATTACGATTTGGTGAATCTGAGAATACAGACTATGCTCCAACATATCCATTATTAACATATGCTGCATATCAAGGTACTTTTGCAATAATTACACCTGCATTAATCTCCGGGGCAATTGTTGGTCGAATGAAACTTATTCCTTATATGATATTTATCTTCATTTGGTCAACGGTTTGTTATGATCCAATGGCTCATTGGGTATGGGGTAGTAATGGATGGTTGAAACATTTAGGTACACTTGATTTTGCTGGAGGCACGGTCGTACATATTCTATCGGGTGTTTCGGGTCTTGTAGCAGCATTAATTCTTGGAAAACGATCTGATTATGATCCACGAAGTACTGCAGCTAATAATCTTCCATTTACAATTTTGGGTACAGGTCTTCTATGGATTGGATGGTGTGGTTTTAATGCTGGCTCAGCTAATGGTGCTAGGTATATAATTACTCATAGAGAATAATATCAATTTATTCTTTTATTTTATTTTGTAGTGGTTTAGCTTCTCTTGCATTAGTTAATACAAATGCAGCAGCTGCTGCTGCTCTTATTACATGGGTAGTCATTGATGCTCTTCGTGGTCAAGTATCAATTTCAGGTGCATGTGTTGGACCAATTGTTGGTTTAGTTGCTGTCACACCAGCTTGCGGTTTTATACAACCAGGATGGGCACTCTTCTTTGGAGTTGTTGCAACGTGTATAATATATGTGCTTCTAATACTCAAACATCACATTCGTCTTGATGATACATTAGATGTAGCTATTGTCCATGGTGGAGGTATGCATGAGCAATTGGATTGATGTTCGTTAGGCTAAATTTTGTTTTATTCAGGTGGTATAGTAGGAGCATTTATGACTGGTTTATTTTGTGAACAATCAGTTAATCCGTCAGGGGGTTTCGATGGTGCATTTTATGGGCGACCTGTTCAACTATGGTATCAAACTGTTGGTATTCTAACTGCAATTGGTTTGTAGATAATATATAATAAAAATCTAATAATAATAACAATACTATTGTTAGGTTTTGCTGCTTTATGTACTGCTGGTATTCTTTATCCATTGAGTTGGATTATAGGTATTCGTTTAGCTAAAGAAGATGAACTTGAAGGACTTGATTTAACAGGTATGATCAAATCTTGTCATCATCAGATAAAAATAAACTAAAATGTTTTTTTAATATTTTTAGCTCATGGAGAAGGTTGGGAAGTCGTCGCATCACGTGCTGTTAGTGATTTGGTAAAAAAAATTTTAGATAATCAACATAATCCTAATGAAATGCGAGAAAGTGGTACTTTTGAATTACATTATACTCCTTCTGATGCAAAACGCAAACCATTTAAAGTTAATCTATCCAAACCACAGAAAACATCTGATGAACAAATGAATTCTCCGACAATAAACAATCCATAATAACAAATGAATAAACTCAAATATTACTTTCTTCTGTCTGTATCTTTTTTTCTCTTCTCTCTTGTATATCAAATAATTCAATTAATAAATTTGTTCATTCAATGTGTAAAAGAAAAAGAACAATGATAATAACGAAACGTTTTTTTTTATCATTTTGCAAACAAAATGACTCTGATAAAGGTCATATCATAATATACACACGCAGTGAGTAAATGATTATTTCGATGAATTTACCTGAACTATGAACAAAGAAAGAAAGTAGAATATATTTCACTTTTCTTTTTTTTTATCATTCATTTAATATTTCAATTGACGTCAGTTATTTGTTTTACTTTACAAGAGAATAGGTAAAAAAAAATGAATACTACGAAATTATTAAATCATGATACAGGCGATAATGCTTGGATGATGACATCAACTGCATTAGTTCTTCTTATGACACCAGCTTTAGCTTTCTTCTATGGTGGTCTTGTTGATAGAAAAAATATTTTAAATCAACTTTTTCTTTCATTTATTTGCATGGGTATTGTATTTGTGCAATGGGTATTATTTGGATTTTCTTTTGCTTTTGGTCCTTCAACTAAAATCGGATATGGATCATTTGAGTGGCTTGCATTACATTTTGGTGAATCAGAAAATGCACTTTATAGTCCTACTTATCCGTTATTAACTTTTGCTGCATATCAAGCAACATTTGCAATAATTACACCTGCATTAATCTCCGGTGCAATTGTCGGTCGAATGAAACTTATTCCTTATATGTTATTTATTTTTATTTGGTCAACTATTTGTTATGATCCAATGGCTCGTTGGGTTTGGAGTACTAACGGATGGTTGAAACATTTAGGTACACTTGATTTTGCTGGTGGTACAGTCGTACATATTCTATCGGGTGTTTCGGGTCTTGTGGCTTCAATCATTCTTGGTAAACGAGCTGATTTCGATCCACGAAGTACTACAGCTCATAATCTTCCATTTACAATTTTGGGTACCGGTCTTCTATGGGTTGGATGGTCTGGTTTTAATGGTGGTTCTGCTAATTCAGCTAAGTATGATAGTATTTAGAATATATTCATAATAAATTATATGTGTTTACTTTTATTTAGTGGTATAGCTGCTCTTGCTTTAGTAAACACGAATGCAGCAGCTGCAGCTGGTCTTATTACGTGGGTAGTCATTGATGCTATTCGTGGTCGAGTATCAATATCAGGTGCATGCGTTGGACCAATTGTTGGTTTAGTTGCTGTTACACCAGCATGTGGTTTTATACAACCAGGATGGGCACTTTTGTTTGGAGTTATCGCAGCATGCATGGTTTATTTTCTTTTGTTGCTTAAACATTATATGCGAGTCGATGATACATTAGATGTAGCTTTTGTTCATGGTGGAGGTATATTTAAATAATTAGTCAGTGTTTTGTATTGTATTCATTTGCTTTAGGAGGTATATTAGGAGCATTTTTGACTGGTTTATTCTCTGAAAAAGCAGTTAATCCATCGGCTGCTTTCGATGGTGCATTCTATGGGCGACCTATTCAATTATGGTATCAAACTG